GATGTTCTCCAGTTCCATCCTTTTACTGGCAAATGCCATAATTTCATTATTCTTTATGGAGTAAAAGGCAATTGCACATGTGCATAAACACACACACACACACACACACACACACACACACACCCACACACACCATATTTTCTTAATCCATTTGTATGTTGACAGGCATCTGGGCTCGTTCCATAGATAGGTGCATCATAAACTCTGGTTACTGTTTCATATCTTAGAAAAGTAATTTAAATTCTGCCAGATTTTCAGCCACACTTAATGATAACAAATAACAGTACCCAAGCACAGGTCTCCAGCCTGGGGTCAGCTTATATTACAGCTTTGGGTGGGTACTGTATGGCATGAGAAAAGATACAAAATTTTCTCTTGTCACCAAGTGCCTGTGGCAGCAGGTCAGGCTCTCTAAAGTTTTAGCATCTTAATTCCCAGTCCAAAATCTCACCTTGAAATATAATAGAATTAAATGACTGAATCATGCATCCTTGTAAAACACCAAGTGTGTCTGATACAGGTTGAATGCTCTGGATGTGGTCTCTAAATTTATAAATTCCAGTGGTCCCTCAAGATGGTAGAAGAGTTAAAGACACCTGAAAATCAACTTGTCCTGAGGTATGATAGAAAAAAAAGAAATAAAAAGAATATAGGATGCCTTAGTTATAATTCTTAAAGTAGACACTCCCAGAAGAAAATATATGTCTTCCTAAACAATGGAATTTGCAGAAAATGGGGCAAAATGACCCTACAGTCATGGATATGGGGAGATTTGTGAGAGCAAATGATGATAGAAAATCAGTCTCCAGCCAAAGAAGGCAGAGGAGTTTATTTTTCCAAGAAGAAATTCAAATCCTAAAAAGTCAGCAGTCAATAAAAACATGTATTTCCCACTTTAGTACAGACATCAGGAATATTGAGAGTTAATTGGGGAAACATAGTCCAGAAAAGGAACTGTCATTGTACAAGTCAAGATAGTGAAAATGTTACTGGAGATTACAAAAGAGTGCAGAAAGTGTGTAGCAGCAAAGTAAAACAAGTGGAGGATCATGGAACTTTAAGCCATTCACTGAGAAATACCCAGTTTAGGTATTAGGCAACAGTATAGGTTTATAACTGAAAAGACATTCTTTGGAGTCATATTTCTAATAATCAAATATCTGTTTACTGATTTTATTTATAAAATCTGTTTACTGCTTTATTTATAAAATCTTAGGAAAGTTATTTTATCTATGTGTAAAAACTTTCAATCAAGAAAGTTTATACAAAACAGTTTTAATGATGTCTAGAGCATAATAAATATTTTATGAATGTTAGGAATTATTAATAAATAAAATAATAAAGGTTAATTTTCATATTTTCATAGCCATGTTGGTGTTGGAATTTGGTTTAAATATGGTACTCTGAAAAACAGCTAATGCCAAAAACAAATTAGCATTATTTTTAAGTAGAAGTTGCCAAAATTAGGAGTTTTTACCACAAGGATAGAAATAGTTGAAAAGAGTACATACACATATATATTATGTGTATACATGTATTTGTCTTCCATATATAGGGAATTTTTTGAAATGCAAAGCTATTTTGCTTTTTGACTATTTTTGATCTTACCTTAGAGTCTTATTCTCTTTAAGTGTTTCTGCCAGAATGTGGACTATATAATGAGAAAATTCTTGCATGCAGAAAAAATTCTTTCTACACACACACACACACACACACACACAAACTGAATCCCTTGAGCATGAGATGTGGGAGAGAGACAAAGACAGAAATGGAAGATACGATCTTCAAGATCCCATTTTCAACTACACATTCCCTGGTCCTCATTCAAATTTTCAAGGTATGAAAGGACAAACTCAATGTGATTTGAGAGGTAAACTGAAAGCCAGGAAACAGTGACACTTGATTTCTTACTTGAGTATCTGAAGGAGAGTCCTGGTGTGACATCTCAGGACATGGGAGGTTAGCACTGGAGTGCAAATGACACTGATGCATGTTCCATAGGAGAAAGTGAGTATGCCACTGGTTTCCTTCTCCCCCAAGAGGCACACTGGGATGTGGGAGCTCAGTACTATGGGAAACAGGCTAATCATGATAAATAATTGTGTGACATTGTCATGAGAGACATCTTGACTATGTCTACATTTGACAAAGGACTTCATGGCCAAGGACCATAAAAACAAATGTTCAGTGGGATAAGTAAAAGAAAGTGGGTCATGTTTGAGGGATTGTAAGGTAAAAATCAAGGATACAGATGGGTCACAAAATGAACACCCAAGAAAATATCAAAGTTCAGCAGAGAGTACAGAAAAGATAAATTTTCATACAAAGTCTGGAGATAAGCTGACATTATTTCAACATAGCCCAAATAAAATGTCAAATAACAGCAGGCCAAATGACATGCTGGAGGCTAACCCTATCCTTTCCCTTACTCCTCAAATACAGGTCAGTTTCCCCCTTTTAAAATTTGGTTCTTTGTAGTTTTACATAACACTAGAATTAATTTTGACATAATTAAAAAAACGTGGAATATACTTTGCTCTAATTCAGTAGTTTTCCTTTTAAAGTGGGTGATATGGGGTGGAACATGGGAAGCCCAGAGACCTATGGAGAAAAAAGGTTGTCCAGTACATATTGTCAACTGCCAATTGGCAGAAAAGTTATTCAAATACCTTATTTTATACTACAACAAAGGAATTTTTTTGTTCAGAAGCATTAATTGACATTTAAGTGGAAGGTTTTCAGTTCAGATAACCATTAACATATACAGGGTCACTTGGAGCAAAACAAGACTACAACAAGAAACAAACAAACCCCCAAAGCCTACCCATACCTGTCTTTAAATACAAACTGCAAAACCTACTACACAGGAATTTGATACCAGGATATTGGCTGACAAAGGATGGATCTATTAAATATTGTATTCAGTTGGTAACTCACTTGAAAGTAAATATTCACATCAATATACAATTTAAAATACTTCACAAAAGTAATACCACCAACCACAAAGTACCAGAATAATGAGGGAATAGCTCTTATACAAAATGATATATCACTGAACATTTTTATGGTAAAAGTGCTATTTTTTTAAATTGTCCCATTATTATTTTCTACTAATGTAAAATCCATTTACTGCAAGATACTCAGCTACACTTTGAGAAATGTTTTATAATCATGTGGTATATATGTTTATATTACCTTTATTCAAAACCCAAAACAGTAAAATGTTGATCAACTGATGAATGAATAAACAGATTTTTGTATATGAAACAAAACAAGCAGTAATGAGTAGAATTCAAAATACAACTATGCAGGTCTGGGTATATGGTTCAGTGGTACAGTGCTTGCCTAGCATGCATTACATCTTGGGTTGAAATCTTAGGACTGAAAAACAACAACAAAAACTGTGGATATGACCACAGGAATAAGTCTATAAAGAATTATTTTAAGTGAAATTACCCAACATGAAAGATATTAGCTACTACTTAATGTGCGTGACTTTCTCTGAAAGGCAAGCATATATGATGGAAATGAGAAGAGTAGCAGCCAATAATTAGAAGTTGTAGTAGAGGATGAATTAAACTCAGTTAGAAGGGTACTTTTGAGGGAGATGGAAATACTTTATGTATTAATTGCGTTACAGCTATAGGACTCTCAGGTATTTTTCATAGCTCATGAATCTATTCACATATCTAACTATAATGTATTACATTTGTAATTCTATCTCAAGAAATCAACCTTAAACCAACCATGATCATTTACACGTTTAAGTACTATGCCCCTTCTCTACTCATCCGGTCTTTGAAATTTAATGTATAATATAGCAAGCCAACTTATATTCCAGAATATGCACATGCAATGGATTGAAAACACATTTAATTTGTCTTTAATCACTTCAATCTGCAGGTTTTATAACTTAAAAAGTGTCAGCAGTGGATGTAATGAGTAGATTGTTATTATGACATACTAATGAAATATGTTTCTAAATTAAACTTTTCAAAGACTGAGGTATATGTTGTTGTTTTTTACATTAATTGATATTTAAATGTACAGAGTTTAAAGGATATGGCAATATCTAATATTAATTAGATATGTATCATTGTAGAAATACTAATTAGGAGTATTTAATGCTAATTAGATATTTTTAATTGTAGAAATGACTTTTAAAATTTTATTTTATTGGTTCTTGTTAGTTATACATGACAATAGTATCCATTTTAATATATTTAGACAAACATGAAATATATTTTATCCTATTCAGACCCTAGTATCTCTCCTTCTGCTTTTATTTCCTCTACTTCTGTTCCCTTCCCTTTTAGAAATGATTTTTTTTTTTTGCAAATGTACACACACAAACTAGAGTGCAAATATGTTCAGCTTATTACCATCCAAGATTTAATTTGGTGACTGTTTGTACATCTGTTTGTCATATTAATGTTTATGATGGTCACAAAACTATTTAAAAACATTATATTCAAGAGAAAAACAGAAGAAAGCAAGAAGGAAAGAACTGTCATGAGACCTGTTACAAAGTATTTTAGGCAAAAGACACAATTTCCATCACAGGTTACCACCTAATTGTTGGCATATCTTTTAAACTCTACACATTTAAACATCAATTTTGCAAAAGATAACACCATATACTCAGTCTTTTGAAAAGATTAAATTAGAAACATATTTCATTAGTATGTCATAATAACAATTTACTCATTACATCCACTGCTGACCCTTTTTACGTTATAAAATCTGCAGATTGAAGTGATTAAAGACAAATTAAATGTGCTTTCAATCCATTGCATGTGCATATTCTGGAATATAAGTTGGCCTGCTATATTATACATTAAATTTCAAAGAAAGGATGAGTAACAAAAGGGGACAGTACATAAAAATGTAAATGATCATATAAATTGAACTTATAAACTATTTTTAAATACTTACTGAATATCAACTTTTCTTAATTCCAGTGGTTGACTTTTAAATACATTCATATTGCATCTCAAGATTTAGATGGCTTTCAAGGAGAACAACCTCTGCACTCTCCTTCATATCTGGTGGGTCTTGATACTGTAGATAATGGAGTTCATCAAGGGTGGGAAAAGGATATAGATGTTGCCCATGAGGACATGAACCAGAGGAGAGAGGTGTTTGCCAAAGCGATGAACCATGGTCAGACCAATGATTGGGATGTAGAAAACCAAAACAGCACAGATGTGAGACACACAAGTCTGTAAGGACTTCATTCTCTCCTCCCGGGATGCGATGGCTAAGACAGTGTGCAAGATCATAATGTAGGAGATTATGATGAGCACAGCATCCAGCAGCAAGTTCATGATCACCAGAACCAGAGCATAGATGCTGTTGAAGCGGATGTCTGAACAGGCCAATCGAAGTAAGTCTTGGTGCAGGCAGAAAGAGTGAGAGAGGATGTGAGGACGGCAGTAATTTAAGAACTTCAGGCGGATGATGGCAGGAGAAATGAATGAAAAACTTCTACACAAAATTGCCACCCCGATTTTCATGATTTTGTCATTGGTTAGGATGGAGGAGTAGCGTAGAGGGTTGCAAATGGCAATGTAGCGGTCAAAGGCCATAGC